AAAGCTAACTATCAACTTATTAGGTCAATTTGTAGTCTACTGCACCTCAACAATAGACTCATCTGGAAGGTCTAACCATCCTGAATCTAGTAACTCTTTTCTTTTGGCTACTAATCCATGCTTTGTCCAAAAACCTACCAAACAAAAAATGCTGAAGCTTGACTTTATATACAACTCATAAATTAAGAAAATAAATTGATTGTTGCAATCCTTGAGCAGAAAAATCACCTTCATACACTGGTACAATCTGAGAAATCTACTGATACTTACTCACTATAATCTCTTTCTTGTACTGGGCTGACATCCACTGAACCTAAGCTGCTAGAAGGTGAACTTGAATACCACCCAAAACCTTCATCTGTGGGGATTACTACCTGCTTCCCCAAAATCCTATAATATTAAAAAGAAAATTTGAAAAATCAGACAATGTGATAGGTAAAATGGCTGAATGATTTATTATACAAGAAAGTAAACAAAGTTTATCGAGAAGCCATATGAACACCATAAAAATAGTGAGGTTGTTTGTCTCTCACACAGATAGCTTTGATAATATACTTGTCAAATGAGAAATTTTCTGCTTTGCAGATTATATTTTAATGTGGTTTGAGGTATTTTCTCTACACATATTGCATGGCATCATGAATACGTGTTAAGAGAATTATTTTGCTTTCTCCTCTTCTAACATTAATGCCTTAAAGCATTAGCAAATCTGTCAAATGTAAGAATAAGATTTAAGTCTCCAAACAGCCACCATAACTGGCAAGCTATTCATTTGTAGAGGAGGGATGAATTATTGGTGTTTTTTAATTATCAAAAAATAAACATCTATCACTTCTAAGAAAAAGTTGCTATTTTAGGGCCCAACGCATTGGAAAATATCAACAGTCTTCCAAGCACCTGAAGGAACTAAATATGAGCCTTGCACTGGTGGGGGAGGAGTGGGAGCAGACAGACAATTTTATCTCCTCATATTGTATAATCACTCACACACACATCAATTCTAACAATGTTTAAAAATACAGCCATTTCCACCACTAGCAATTTGGTTCTGTAATAATTCTGTGACATTACCAGCATTAATCCATCAATAAAATACCTGAGATGAGGAAAGCTAGATGTCCATTGTTGGCACTCTTCTTGCAGACCCTCAACATGCACACTTTCTTTCTGTTCATATAAAAGCTCATCAATGTGTCTGAACATCTGTTGAACTTGTCGTGTGGCAGCTTTATCAAATTCCTAGGAAGGAAAATTATCAAAAAAAAATGTTAAAGGGGAGGATTTGGGGTGAGAATTTTTTTAAGCCACCTTAATTGAAAAAAAAACATTCATTTACTTAAACTTTAGCAGGATTAACTTAAACAATAAGGACCTCTCTCAGAGAGGCATGTTAACCTTAAGACATCTTTCCACTGGAGAGAACACGGATTGATGTAAGTGCTGATCCCATGTACACACAAAATTTAGATCAGCACTGTCCCTATTGGATGGTTTAACAGAAGGTTTTAGAATATTTGTTTTAAATCAATAATGAGAAAGAAAATTGTCAGTTGAGACATGGCAATTCAAGTAAATTACCTGGAAACATGAAAAAATAAGACTCAACCAAATTTCAGTGAAATGGAAAATTAATCATGCCAGACATGGTGATAGAGAATGTAAAAACAATGCTAAGTGGTATTAGATGTTGCCACAAATTTATGACACTGAACAGTAATCAAGAGTTGATAGGTACCAAATCCTCTATGTAGCCAGTAAACAAGCTGAGGATGCTTCTCAAGTCATTTAAAATTCAACAATTTTTCTGTCTCCACTGCGGAGAGAGCAATAGCACCTGTTAATCAGAGCCGGTGTCGGCATATGAAAGAGAAATACATTTTTTAAAAGAGAAAAAATTTCAGTGGTTTTAATATGCTTTGAGAAGCACAGAGGTTTCCAAAATACAGTTTGATAAATCCAACCATATGAAAACCACACACTGGCATATGAGGTTCAACATTATGGCATATATGCTGTATACATTACCTTTACTCATCAAATTACCTGTGATCCGAAAGTTTTAAGCTAAAAATGCAGACTAAAAGATATTCAGGTATTAGCACAACATGTCCTGATTAGACAATAAAGAAAAGAGAGTTGGGACGGGTTGAGGGAGAAAGACTCTGTTTCTTTTCCCATAGCAAATACCATTGCAATATTTACAGTTCTCACCTTAACCTGGATTTTGCAAAGAAATTTATTCAAAATGCTATTTGAAATGTGTCAGCACAACCTTTCAACTATCTCTGATAATTTTATGCCGGAGGACTGTGTTCTACTCACATCGTAACCCCAAGAGAAGACTGAGCTGTCTTCAGTGGAGGTGCCTGTGTAACTCTGACTAGCAGACCATGAGCTCCCATTGTCAGCTGCAGTAATATCTGGGTAATTTGATTCCTTCAAGGTTTCAGACTCCCTAAAATGCACATTTTTGGGGGTAGGAGAGAAAAAAATTCTCATGAGATACATTCACAAATATGTGGATGAGTAAACTATTTTTCATGTATAGAAAGGCATATTTATAACAGTTTAAATTCCAGTAGAGGGCTGCAGGATTAGGCTCTTGACATGTTCATTTTCCCAGAGTTATTTTACTACCTTCTCCCTTTAACTACATAGAGAATTACCAGTTCATCTTCTCCACAACTCAGAAAAATCACTCTCCCTCTCTCCTGCTTCTAGCATAAAAATGAGATGACCCACAATATTCACAAGCTGTGACAGATCAAAAGGATTTAACTATTCTGAAAATTATTCCCCAAAACTACATGTGTTCCCATACATGTATACTAGGGCTTGAAAAAATATATCATATTGTCTTGCCAAAATGAAAGAGAGGGCAATCAGCAAGGCATAGAATCACTACTCTAGTGAGAAGCCTGGGTCAAGCTGCTGGGAAGGGGACAGTGCTGGGATTTAATTGTCTCCATCCTCATTATGACCCCAATCCAAGAAGCTGTTCTATGTTGGGGACCTCTTTGCACAGGCAGAGTCCCATTAATTTCACTGGCAACCTGTGCAAGTGCAGATTTCTGAGGTCAAGCATTAGTAGCGTAGTTATACTGTGGAGTCACGCCACTGTGAATCAACATATATACCACCTAATATTATAGACTGTGTCACTGTGATATCTTTATAATGCGGACAGAACACAAAAGTTGTCTGTTTCTCTGTGGTCTCCTGACAAAAATATTTTATTACTCCAGATACCTCAAGAATTCTTCATAGCTTTCAGTGGCCGGAGTAGCTGTGTAAATGTCATCTAGTGGCTCTGGCAGGGGATGATGCTCTAAAGCATGCTTTACAAGTCCATGGCTAAAAGAAACATAAAATAAATAAGCTCAATTTGACATTAGTTCTGAGAATAAACCCCACAACTCAAAACTTCTGCAGAGTTCCAGGGGATTAGAGGTTTTTGCTGATTTTCAAGGAAACAGTAACATGCACACCTGAACTGTCTTTATATCCCTAGAGGATTAGTGCCACTATATTAAATATCTACCAGTATTCCGTTACAAATCACTATTCTCATCAAAGTCTTAGACTTTAAACATACAAATTAACTCCAGAATGAAGCTTGAGATAAAAGATCTTAGTTTAGGATCCACTGTCTCCTTTAAACTAAGCTTATTAGGCCATAATTCATCAAATTAATGTTTTTAGAATAACATAAATATATGACAACACTTATCATAAACAATATAAGTATTTTATTTACATTAATAGTTGTATTTATTTTGTTTATTATTTAGATTTTAACAAACCTTTTAAAAAAACACAGGTTCCTTCACACTTTATTTTGGCTATCATTTTCTATACTTCAAAGAAACTTAGATTAAGATGGGGCCGCAACACAATCTCAACGGCAAATGTGGTCCTGAGTTATGTTGTAGATTTCTGTTTACTAAACTACTGTCACCCTAAAGAATCAAAGAATGATAGCTCTAGCTCAGGGGTGGCTAACCTGTGGCTCCGGAGCCACATGCAGCCCTTCAGAAGTTAATATGTGGCTCCTTGTATAGGCACTGACTCTGGAGCTGGAGCTACAGGTGCCAACTTTCCAATGGGGGGGGGGGAGGGCTGTGCCACAGGCCCTGCCCCCACTCCACCCCTTCCTGTCCCCTCCCCTGACCTGCTGTGCCCTTGTTCCTCCCCACCCCCAGCGCCTCCTGCACCCCAAGAACAGCTGATGTGGAGGTGTGGGGAGGCCCCGGGAACTGCTGACCTATTACTGTGGCTCTTTGGCAATGTACATTGGTAAATTCTGGCTCCATCTCAGGCTCAGGTTGTCCACTCCTGGTCTAGCTATTCTTAGAGCAGCTCCTGTGAAATACCCAATGTAGCCAACTCTGGCAACTTGATTACAATTCTTGCACAATTTCATGTTTTACTTGAAACCCACACTTATATTATGAGGGGGGCGGGGATCTTGGGGCCTGTGCTGCAGTCAGGCCGGGGGTGAGGGGCTGGGCCCTGTGGGGGGAGCTGCTGTCAGGCTCGGGCCCTATGTGCGGGTTGTTGCTGTCACGCCGGGGGGGGGGGGCAGGCCCTGTGTGGGGGTGCGGCTGTCAGGCTGGGAGGGTACTGCTGTCAGGGTGGGGAGCAGTGAGGGCTCGGCCGTTGGGCCTGTTACCGCCAAACCTCCCGCGTGCGGGCCAGAGCTGGCCCTAGCCGGGCTGCAGGGGCTGCAGCGACGGGGGCACTCACATCTCCAGGGCATCGGGGGGCACCGGCTTCCGCGTGTATCGCGAGATCATCCTCATCCTTCATCGCGGCTTCTCCGGCCGCCTGGCTCTGCCTCCGGCCGCCATGGCGACGCCCGCCCCGCCCCCGAGCGGAAGTGGGGCTGCTGCGGGCGCGCGGTGATGACTGGCGCAGCAGGGAGCGCGCAGCCTGGTGAGGGGTGAGTGCAGGCTGCCACGGGCCGTGGCGCCGTGAGCTGAGTCCTTGGTGCTCGTGGCCCTCCGCGATCGAGCTTCCCACGTTCTCCGGCCTCGGGTGGCGGGTGGCCTACGCCGCCCGCACTCCCCTGGGGGCGCCAGGCCGGGCGGTCTAACGCTCGCACTCGCGCGCCGGGGCCTCGCCAGGCGCTCTGCGCCCGCAGCTCCCCGGGAAGCCGCTGCGGTTGGTCGGGTCAGGGTGTCCGGGCTGGGCGCAGTAGTCACGGGGGTGTCGGAAGCCGCTGGTGCAGTTTGCGGAGAAGAGGCCGCGAGGCATTAGCCCTGCGCGGAGAAGGGCAGCGGGACCCGCTCCCTTCTGTGGCTGTGATGGTGGCCACGTGGGGGTGGAGGTTGGTGACAGGCCAGTGTCTCTTTCGGGGATGACCGTGATGTGTGTCTGTGGCACCCGTTGCCATGGCTCTGGATACAGATTGCCTGAAATAGGGCTGAGTTCTCCTGTTTATACTTCTTTGGGGACAACTTTTAAGGCTTCTCTGTGCTGTAGAATTGGTTTGCTCCATAGAGTAAATAAAGGGTTTTCTTATCGGATGTGACTGGCTGGGGCAATGTAGAAGAGTGTCAGGGATGTTTTGAATTGATAACATGGCTGAATATATCATTTTGGAGGATGGGTTATTTAATATTTACTGGTTTTGAATGATTGAATCTATTTGGTTTGTTTTTTGAAGGACACTTTATAAAAGTTCAGAATGGAAGGGGAGCTGAGATTGGCAACTGTAGACGATGCAGTGCAGTACCAACTCTTTCTGATACCTCTTGAACCAGGTGACCCAGACCAACACAGAGAAGTTCTTCAGCAGTACATTGAGAGGATATTGGCCCAGTTTGCACCAGTCTTAGTTTCTTATATCTGGCAAAATCAACCTTTTAATCTCGAATACAAACCTACTAAAGGTAAAACTACTGCATTTGTTTTCATCTGGTATAGGGTTGGATTTCCACCTGTTTAATGACTGGCTACTACTATGAAAATAAAATATGCTGGTGGTATTACTGAGTGATGTCTGTATATCTTTGGGCCCAAGAGGAGGAGAAACTGAAGCTGTTATGAGTTTGTTCACTGAAAACTCAGTTTTTTTATAGTATTGTTAGTTTAACCCCTTTCCTCAAGTGAAAAGTTGCGAATCATTCTCCATATTTTGTTGTGTTGGTACTGCAGTTCTCACTAAGGTTGCCTGCTGTTTATCTTGCTTTCTTTCTGTTTGATATTGCTGTTAACAGAACTACTAGCACAAAACATTCACCATTTCAACTACTGAGTCATGTTCTGTCCCATTTCTCCCCATCCCCAATTATACTATATAGTGCAGCATTTCTCAAACTGGAGTCCCTGAGGGTACTCCAGGGGGTCCATGGGCCCTGCTGATCAACTCCTCCCCCTCCCTCTATCTCCCGGAGCCTACTGAAGCCAACCCGGGAGATTTTAGGTGCTAAAAGTCCGGCGGGGCTAAAGCAGGCTCCCTGCTTGCCCTGGCTCCGCGCCACTCCAGGAAGTGGCCAGCGAGGGTCTCTGCGTGCTGCCCCCGCCCCAAGCGCCGACTCCACAGCTCCCATTAGCTGGGAACTGTAGCCAATCGGAGCTGTGGGGGCGGTGCTTGTGGGCAGGGTCAGCTCTTGGAGACACCTCTCCCCCCTGCCCCCCCACCCCCGGCTGTCCCGCCTAAGAACCGCTGCCAGAGAGATGTGCTGGTTGCTTTCAGGAGATGCCCGAGGTAAGCGCCGCCTGACCAGAGCCCGCAACCCTCACCCCCTCCCACACCTGAGCCCAAAGCCCACACCCAACCTCCCTTCCAGAGCCCGCACCCCCTCCTGTACCCAAACTCCCACCCAGAGCCTGCATCCCGCATCTCCTCCTGCCCCAGCCTGGTGAAAGTGAGTGAGGGTGGGGGAGAGCGAGCAACGGAGGGAGCAGAGGGAGACCTGGGGGGAAGAGGTAGAGTGGGGGCGGGGCCTGGGGCTGAGCAGGGCAGGGGGAGCTTGGGGATCCCTGAAAAATTATAAATCAAAATGGGGGTCCTCAGGTTGCTAAAGTTTGAGAACCGCTGACACAGTGAATAGATTGAAACAACGAGTAGTCCGGTGGCACCTTAAAGATTAAAAGATTTATTTGGGCATTAGTCTTTAAGGTGCCACCAGACTCCTCATTGTTTTTGTGCATACAGACTAACACAGCTACTCCTGATACATAATGAATAGATTGACCATGTTTTACAGACCATTAATAGAGATGATACTGCTTAACTTCTGTCTTGAATTATTTTTTTAATGCCTCCTCTCAGGAGATATCCCTGCACATATTGGTGGTGTGACTAAATTTGGGGATAATATTGAAGATGAATGGTTTATTGTGTACCTCATACAGCAAATAACAAAGAAGTTTCCAGAATTAGCAGCAAGGTACCTCTAACACATTTTCAGCGTTTTGTGAAACTGTAAATTAAAGACTTTTAAGCTCCTTCAATGACAGCTATTGCTGTACTCTAAACCTCACCAGGATAATATTAGATTGCTTTTTCAAAAACATTTTTCTGTTGTCAAGATGGGGAAAACAAAAGACAAACAACTTTTCCTTCTAAAACAGCTTGAAAGTGTTAACTGGAGTCTTACCATTTACTTCAGTACGTGTAGGCTGGATCCCAGGTCTACACTTAAAACGCTGCGTCGGCGCAGCTGCATTGCTGAAGTGAAGATGCTCCTATGCTGATGGGAGAGCTTTTCCTGTTAGCATAGTTAATCCACCTTCTCAAGAGGCGATGGCTATGTCAATGGGAGAAACACTCTCATCAACATAACACTGTCTACATGGGGAGTTAGGTCAATATAACTACGTCACTCGGGTGTGGATTTTTTACACCCTGGAGCAATATTCTTATACCAATATAGGTCTGTAATAGACCTGGCTCCAGTGTTCATGTCAGACATCTGAGTTTGTGAAGTATTTATTGAAAATAGAAATCATTGTAGTGGCTTTGTACTAATGGTTTCTTGTCATATAGGAGAAAGTAAGGAAAAAGAGATTAGCAGTTGAGTTGTCCACTGTTAGTATGTTCAGAAAAGTACACAAGTAATTTTTCTGTTTTGCTGGTCTTTCTATAGACTGTTCATTGAGGGCCCAATTCAGCAAAGTGCGTAATCATGTGCTTAATTTTAAGCACATGCATAGTCCCTTTGAACTTAGTTAAGCATGTGCTTAAGTGCTTTGGTGTACCAGGGCCTGAGGGAGAATACAAATCTCTGTAGTTTGAATTTTAGGATTACTATATAACAATATCTTCTTAATTTTAAATTTTACTCTTCTCTAGGATAGATGAAATAAAAGTGCCTTTTAGGGTGACCAGACTACAGTATAGTTAGTGCTTGACATTGCAGCATCTGTGTATAGAAATAATATTCCCCCAGTCTTGTTCTTAATTGTGTTTCTATATAAACTGTACTTGAGCATATTGCATGTTTCCAATCTTTTCCTAATACACCTTTACCCTGATATAACGTGACCTTATATAACACGGTAAAGCAGTGCTCTGGGGGAGTGGGGCTGCGCACTCCAGTGGATCAAAGCAAGATAGGTGAAACTGCGTTATATCAAAAACGCGGTAAGATTTTTTGGCTCCCAAGGACAGCTTATGTCGAGATAGAGGTGTACATGGCCCAAATAAATGAGTCCTATTCTTGTTCATAATACAAATGTGACTAAAAATTTTGCAGACCTCGTAATTTACTATCAATGAAAGAACTCGTTCAAGTGGAGGAAACGTTAGGTGACTTCCATATAGGAACATGCAAAAAAAAATCGTGGAAACCCTATTTAAGGCTGCTACCAAGTAAAAGGGGAAATGCCTTTCCTAAAAGGAGCAGGCAGCTGAAACCTCTAACCATGTAATGGTACATTTCTGTCTTGTTTTAGAGGATTAAGAGGGGAAAAAATCTTTAACAATGAATGTGGGGTGTTTTTTGTAAAGTGATGAAGCCCCCTTTCACTGAAACAATAACTGATAATTATTTGTCATTGTGCTATACAGGGCCATGTTTAATAAGACACTGATTTCTATTTGGTTAGGGTTGATGACAATGATGGTGAGTTCCTGCTGATAGAAGCAGCTGACTTCCTCCCAAAGTGGTTAACACCTGAAAATAGTGCCAATCGGGTAGGTGAAATTGTTATGCAAGTGGGCAGGTGACTCAATATTGTATTGAGTTCACTGCAGTATTCTTTCACCCCTGCAGACTTAAAATCAAATCCCAGCTTAAGCTACAAATGAAATTAGTTGACCTGTCTTATTCTCCTATCTCCATCGCAAATCTACACTTGGCACATTGTTCGTAAAGGCATCTCTGGACTGAACCAGAGTCTTGTGATCAGCTGCTTGATCTCTTTGACCACAGTCTACCCTTCTTCTGTTCTGTTTTTTAATAACTATGCCTACCACGAAAATTTACTACAGGCTTAGCAGTTGAACACATTATGTGTTCTATCATCCCATTCATTTGAAGCTATACATGTCATCTAAATTTGTTAGTAAGAAATATTCTCTAGTAGTTAAGCAAGTGTGATTACTCAGCATACTTTTTCCTCACAAAATGGTTCTATCACACAGACCATGCTTAACATTTTTGTTTTACCTTTAAAGTTACTGGAACTTCTGGGTACATAATATCAATATTACATAAAACAGTGTAAATGCTGATGTAGCCTGTGTGTGGCACTACTGATATTATATAATCAGTAAATATAAGTGAGTGTCTTGGCAGCACTTAGTTTAAATGACAGGATGGAATGATACTTATTGGCAGGGCTGTTTTTTCTCCCGAATGCTCTTTATTTGGAAAAAACAAAACAAAAACACCCCACAAACAAACAAAAACTACGCAACCTTCTTTGGACATATAGAGCTATTTTAGCTCCTTTACAAGGAGATCAAAAGTGCTTTACAAATGTTCAGCAAGGAGAGAGAAGTGTTCTCTGTTCTACAGATGGGGAAACTGAGGGCTGGTCTACACTGCGGGGGGCGAGGGGGAGGTGGGGCGATCGATCCAAGATACTTTGACTTCAGCTACGCTAGTTGCGTATCTTGGATCGAATTACCTGGGGTCCAGACGGCACAGGATCGGTGGCCGCGGCTCCCCTGTTGACTGCACTACCGCCGCTCGCTCTGGTGGAGTTCTGGAGTTGACGGTGACCGCGTTCGGGGATCGATATATCGTGTCTTAACGAGATGCAATATATCGATCCCGGATAAGTCGATTGTTACCCGCTGATACGGCGGGTAGTGAAGACATACCCTGAGACACAGAGCGATTACACAGCCAGGCAGTGTCAGTACTGAGATTTGATCCTAAGCCTCCTTACCTCCTTTCTCTAAGGGTACGTCTATACTTACCTCCGGGTCCGGCGGTAAGCAATCGATCTTCTGGGATCGATCCCGGAAGTGCTCCCCATCGACGCCGGTACTCCTGCTCGGTGAGAGGAGTACGCGGAGTCGACGGGGGAGCCTGCCTGCCGCGTGTGGACCCGCGGTAAGTTCGAACTAAGATAGTTCGACTTCAGCTACGTGAATAACGTAGCTGAAGTTGCGTATCTTAGTTCGAAGTGGGGGGCTAGTGTGGACCAGCCCTTAGTGAGGAGACCTCTGATAGAAGACCAAGCATGCTATTTGTGCTGTTATAGAAACTGAAATAAATTAAAAATTCATTTGACTGGACCTGTTGCCGTCAGAATTGTTCTGAATCAATGATTGAGTCATGAGTCTTCACTGCACCCAATGAGGCTCTCTGAATAATTACCTCCTTTCCTCAACTTCTGCTTCTTGCATCAGTTCTCTTCTCATACTCCTAATTTCTAATGTGTTCTCTGTAGTTTGGAGAAATCCAAAAAAGTCCATATAATAGATAAATTCATTAATCTATGTGTGAATATAGATGTTCCTTCTGATGTGCCATTTCGATCCTCTCTAACCATCCCTTCACATGGAGAATGTTTTTGTAACTATGTATAAATTCACCAGTCATTCATTAATTAAGACCGCTATGGAACACTAGCAAAATTTTGCCTAATGAACATGTTACATTTTGTCAGGTTTTTTTCCACCGAGGAGAATTGTGCATCATCCCACAGCCAAAGACTCCTGGAGAGGAGCCTTGGCTACCTGACACCAATCCAACAATCCTGCAGACATTAATGCTATTGTCCGCACACCCAGAGGACTTCCTGGCCACAAAATCTATTAGAACAGCAGTATATAAACGCATCAGTGGGTATGTGGATTATTTTTTCTGATATTCTTTACCAGAATGTTCTGATACTGAGCTCTCTAGGGAACTTACCTCCCATATCTTATGTATCCATGGTATCTAAACCATTTTCCTGTTAACTATGATGAGGTTACTCCTATCCTGACAGATCTGTGCTAATTTCTTTGGCATTCTTATGAGGGGGACCCTAACAACGCTAGGCCCATACACTATATTCTGATCTCAGAACTGACACCTCAGTGGTTCAGGACTAAATTCTAGTCTTTTACAAAAGGACAACACTCTTTCTTCATTCGACTTCCAGGAAGGCTGACAGCAATTTCGGCCTTTCCATAGAAGTGTGTGTCTGGGCTCTCAGCTGAGAGACAGAAGTAGAATGTCCTTCAGACCATCAACTTGCATTCAGGAATGGTCAGTAAGGGTCACTGGATTGGTGGTAGAAATTCCTTCACAGAAGACGAAACTAGGGCTGAGCAAAATGACTGTAATTTGACTCCTCTGCTTATTACAAAGAAGCTATACAGCTAGCCTGTTGGGCTAGTTCAAAATGATGCATTTCCCCAAAATGGGGGGTGGGGAATGGGATTTCACTGATCTTGTCAAAAAAGATTGGCTATGCAAGTCTCTTGTAGAAACATTGCAGAAACATTATTGACTAGTATTCTAATTTGATTTCAGATTATTTTAATAATCTGGCATAATGTACATTCTGATATTAAATGAAAGAGGAAACAGGCCTATATTAAATGGCTGGTCATGTCTGTAGTATTTTTTGTATTTTTCCTGCCACAGGTATCCTGAGAAAGTCCAGGCCTCCCTTCACCAAGCCCACTGTTACCTTCCAGTGGGCATTGTGGTAGTGTTGAAGCATCGCCCTGCACTGGTAGCTGCAGCAGTCCAGGCCTTTTATCTGCGAGATCCCATTGACTTACAAGCATGTCGCCCTTTCAAAACTTTCTTGCCCAACACACGTATTATGACTTCAGTAAGTGATCTTTCTGCCTTTAACTTATTGCCATTCTACTGACTGCTTGATTGATGGATATACTGTTCTGTTTCAGAGTAGCAGCCGTGTTAGTCTGTATCCGCAAAAAGAACAGGAGTACTTGTGGCACCTTAGAGACTAACAAATTTATTTGAGCATAAGCTTTCGTGGGCTACAGCCCACTTCTTCGGATGCCACAAGTACTCCTGTTCTTTTTGTTGTTCTGTAGTCATGTTAGGAAATGTATGGCTTTCAATTTTAAAACAGTATGTTTGCTAATTAATTTTTCTTGAGGGCAGTCATGAATTACTGTTTGCTTTAGGAATGTTGTGTCCTGCCGCTATATAGTCAAACAGTAATGGGAACTAGATGATTATAGACTATAAAAAGTTTTGTGCCATCGTTCCCCAAAGCAACCCTAAAATTAGAAAGTCTAAATTCCTTTTATCTATGCTTTCTTTCTCTTTCTGCCCCAATAACTAGGGGAAACTCCTTTTTCAAACCTTATTGGGCAGGGTGGATGGTACTTTGCCACTCTTTTTTTCTTCCTTCCATTGCTCCCAACCCCATTCTGCACCAGAGTGAGGCCTCTAAGCAGCCACCTGCTGACTTTATTTATACAATAAGGCCTCACTGAAGTCATCCAGCTCCCAGAAGGAGGATATTGGAATTATGACATAAAAATGGGGGGGAAATCACCAATCTTTAATTACCATTGTAAGTGTTACTTTTAACAACTGCAGGTGTAAAATAAAATTCAGACAAAAGTATGGCTTTTTATTTAAGTTGGTATCTCTTCTAGAAAATCATGCTACAATATGTATAATTATTTTTAATTTTGATATTTACAGGTCACATTCACTAAATGTTTATATGCACAATTAATGCAGCAGAAGTTTGTTCCAGACAGACGCAGTGGATATACATTGCCTTCTCCTGTACACCATCAGTACAAAGCACATGAGCTAGGCATGAAACTGGTAATGTCTTTTTTACATGTCTCCTACACTTATGTTTTGTTTTTGTTTTCCCCTCTAGTTCATATTTTGGGGGGTGGTTAAATCATTAGGGGTACCTCTTTATTTTCCCCTGGCTTGCTTACAGAGAGAACTTGGAGCCAAACAGCAACTTACATCCCCAAAAGGATGCTGTATCAGACAGCTGTAGAGGACTGTTTTTACAGATTGGGCATAGGTATTTCCTCCAAGTACTTACCCTTTAAGTAAATCCATTCCTTTTTCTCAAACTTTACTCTCTCCCTCCCCCAATCTCAATCTAGTTCCCAGCTATGCTTCTCCCAAGTCATTAAAGAGAATCTTCCACTCTTCTTGCAGGAGAGTTGTCTGTCCTAGAAAAATAGGAACCCGTAACTGGTTACTAGTGTATCTCCTCCACTGGAAGTTGTACCAGAAGGATCCAGATATTCTTACCACCATATTGTCTTTGTTGAAAAACTAAGTTTTATTCTAGGAAAATGGAAATGAGACCTTTGCGAAGATGAAAGATCTCCTTTGTCCTTGCAGCCCAGGAGAAATAGATGGGCCTCCTCTTGAAGCCTGTCAACACATCTTAATCATTTGTTAGGATTGCTGCTGAGTGTCATGGGCAGGGATCCTACTTTCCCATGATAAAAACCCCAAAATGCTCTGATTAAAAAAATCCCATAAAAATCCGTCTTTTTCTGCGATTGAAATGAATTGCTGAACTTTAGTTTCTCTAGCCACAATATATATAGATATCAGTTGAACACAGTGTTTTATTGATATATTTACAATTTTTAAGGTGACCGCCAAAGACCTACCACCCAGGGCTGACAGTCCAAGTCCTACCTATTCTCCTGATTATCTGAATTTTTGATTATCCGATCTGGCCCCAGTCCCAATTAGATCAGATAATTGGGGTTCTACTAATATATATAGTTTCCCACAAAATGTAAAGAAATAAAGGATTCTCTATTTAAAAAAAAAAAATCCACTTTTTTCCTTGCAGCAAATGGATTTCTAGGATCCCTGATCATGGGCCACCTCCTTGCTATTCTGGAAGTTGAGAACTCTGCCTCTGCGGTACTCTGAGGCTATCATGTCCCAGGGAGTAGGCATCAAATCATTTATCTTGTGACAGAGTCAGGAGCTTACCACTACTGAGTTCTTTGTGCAGTCATTTAAAGCGAACTTCAACAAACGTGTCATATTTAAGAACCTATGTTTCCTGTATCTCTTTTATATAGGCTCATGGCTTTGAAATATTATGCTCCAAGTGCAATAAAGTTTCTCCTGATTCCAAGAGGCAAGTATTAAACACCCCCTTTTGGGCCAGTTTCCTCAACAGCCTGAAGACAAATAATTATTTCAAGGTAAGGAACTGTCTCGGTCTCTCTTTGTATAACTCGGGAAAAACAAAACCAGCTTTCAAATTTCAGGCAGAATTTAGGTAGAGGCTGAGGGACATAATTCCTCTCATCATGAAAGATAAGCTCATGTCATGGGAGAGACCACTCCTAAATTCTGTATACAGTACCTTTTCTTTCCCTTCCTCTACCCCACCAAATAGTTTAGAATAAAATGTCTTCACAAATGAAAAGACATTGTAGGATTTGGGGATGAGCTCCTACCTACCATGAATGAAAGGATAGACTTGAAGGAAGCCAAAATTACAAGTGCTGTTACATGCAAGTGCTTTTATTTGTATATATTGAAAACAATAATATGAAATAGTAAATGTATTGGGAATATAGTTTTGTAACGATTTTGTTTCACAAATCAAATATACTTAAATTCCACACTTGGAATTTAACATCATGCATGCTGATCCCTCTGGTCTTCTGCAGCTGATGATTTAAAAAAACAAAAACAAACAAACAAACAAAAACTCTCCTAATTCTGACCTGTCATTCCTTGGCTTATAGTTTAAGTTGACAAGTCCTAACCTTTTTAGAATGTTTGCAAAAATATTATTAAATGCAAAAAAAAGTACATTCCTGCAACGCCACACTTACGAATGTAAATGTGCAAACATCAGGAAATTCATCTATGGTTCTCACAGCAGCTGTAACCGTGCCTCTTTTTTGTTATATATTAATATATTCAGTGTGGTTGCTGGTGTGGGAACCATAACTTTGCATTTCCTGGTTTCTTTGTGTGTAAGATCAACTATATTGCTGCATAACATTTTTTTGGCATGTTTTCTTTTCTTTTTAATTCATGCCCTACTATTAGCAAAACGTATGCCCATTTTCTGCCCTCTACTTTGTGTGTAAGTGGGAAAAGTAGTATAATTTACCTCATTGTTGCTAGAGAGACTAGATGCATGAGGTAATATCTGTGTAATCTCGAAAACTTCTCTTTCACCAATAGAAGTTGGTCCAATAATAGATTTACCTCACCTGCCTTGTGTCTCTAGTATTCTAGGACCAACACTGCTACAATAACACTACAAACCACCATTGTTACAGTCACTGCTTAATTGCTCCCGTTTACTCCAGGCTGCACTAAGTAGGATTTGTTCCTAAAGAGCCAGTATATGCAAACCAATAACTTGGGCCCTACCAAATTCACAGCCCATTTTGGTCAATTTCACCGTCAGAGGATTTTAAAAATAATAAATTTCATGATTTCAGCTATTTACATCTGAAATTTCACGGTGTTGTAACTGTAGGGGTCCTGACCCATAAAGGAGGCTTTTGGGTTTTTGGGTGGGGGGGGAGGGAATCACAAGGTTATTGTAGGGGGGTTGTGATACCGCTACCCTGATTTCTGCGCTGCCGCTGGTGGCAGCGCTGCCTTCAGAGCTGAGCAGCTGGAGAGCAGCAGCTGCTGGCTAGGAGCCCAGCTCTGAAGGCAGAGCAGCTGCCAGCAGCAGTGCAGAAGTAAGGATGGTATGGTATGGTATTGCTACCCTTCTGTACTGCTGCCTACAGAGCTGGGCCCTCAGTCAGCAGCTGCCACTCTTTGGCCACCCAGTTATGAAGCAGCAGCACAGAAGTAAGGATAAAATAACCTTGTGACCCCCCCTGCAACTCCCTTTTGGATCAGGACCCCCAGTTTGAGAAACGCTGGTCTCTCCTGTAAAATCTGTACAGTATAGGGTAAAAGCACACAAAAGACCAGATTTCATGGTCCGTAACGCATTTTTCATGGCCAATGAATTTGGTAGGGCCCTACCAATAACTAAGCAAGGAAACTACATTGTGATATTCATCCCCATTTCACTACTAGTGGCAGTTCCTCTGGACACTGCTATGAAAAGGAAGTTGAGGGAGGATTTGATACACTAGTGTTGGTGACCTGTTTTAAACAGGGAGAACTGGAAGGATCTGCTAAGTACCTGGACCAGCTGCATATGGCAGAGAATTACTTCCAGCAGTCTATCAAGCCTGAAAGGTAAGAGTTACTGTAAACTGATATTGTTAATGTCTGTATGTTCAATTAGATTTCATGGGATTTTTACAGATGTGGGGGTTTTTTCTTTTAGCTCTGTTGCTATGAGTCCAGGTGAAGAAATCTTGACCTTGCTACAGACGTTGTCCTTTGATTTGGATGAACTTGAAAAAGAAGCTGCCAGTCTTCCTCCTGAGGATGGTGAGTGAAGGTGGTGTCATGGGAAATTAGGCACTGCTCTTTATATAACAAATGGCTACAGAAGTTCAGTCTCCACGTATATTCAATTTCAGCCTTTGTCCTGAGACTGCCACAAGCTTTTTTGTGATCTTGCTAGTGGAGAACTCTCTACTAGTTTGGACAACCAGTTTGTTTTGTGTAAGCCACCAAATACGAGCTGGTCTGTTGGCCCAGTGTGATAAAATGGTGTCAGACGTATTTGTCAAGTGACCTCTTCCACCAACCCCTTTATAGCTTTTCTCATTATCAAACATTTCAGAATTTCCATATAAAGTATTCATGATTTACAATAAGTAGGCATTGTGTTAACATTCATCTTACTGATGAATATTTCCCCCATTTTAAAGTGACCGTATTCCAAATTTGATCTTGTAGGTTGACAAATATGCTCCCTTTCTGTTATTTCAGATGATGGTTGGTTGGAGATCTCTCCAGATGATCTGGATCAGATCCTGAGTGAGGCATCAGGTAGAAATGAGTCAATTCCTCCCTCAAATGAGGAAGATCAGAAGTATGATTTGGCAGAGGTCACTGAAAGCATGAAGGCTTTTATATCTAAAGTCTCAACACATGAAGGAGCAGAAACTCCATGGTATTTGTTTAAATATCTGGCATGGTGTATGTAGTGCATTGCTCTTTTATGTTGCAACCCTGTTAGTAATGCTGCAATTCTGGTAAGGGTTCAGCTTTTCAAGCCAGCATAGCTAAGCTTGAGTGATTTGTTAATGTCACTAGAACCCTGAAACAGAATTACATTCTTAGTTTATATACACTTTTATAACATGTTGAGCTACTACCAGTAAAAATATCTGAAAGCTGTCTTATTTTCAAAAACTCTCACTTCAGTTTTCTGTGTGAATCCATTTTCTTAACTTAGGTTCCTCGTGCCCATCACCATAGTGTCTGAACAACATTGGGGCTCTTTGGATTGTATACATCTGAGGATCGTTGTCTTATTGTGTATTGTGAACTTTTCTAACCACAGAGAATTACTAAAAATGTCCCTAATCAGGCTGCACATAGACAAAATTATAATTTATGGCTATGTTGGGCGTGCCAGACCTCTTAAGATGAAGACCATACATTAGCATAATACCTTAGAATTCATAAAGGTAAACATTCCAAGTAAGCAGTGCAGAACAGCAGTGTGGTATCCGTGTGTAACACCTACTTTCTTATATCTAACAAAAATAAGGAAGTGCTGCACATTCCAAAACCTAGCCCAAAGAGTGAAAAAAATCCTCACTGTGGGTGTTTCAGTATTTTCTCACTTGCTTATTTGACAGTAACACAGCTGCTAAGTTTCTTGTTACACTTAGCAAGATATTCAGCATAAACATTAACAGCCACCTCTTACTTACAAGTAAGTAGAAGGTGCAGTGGTGTTTCTGTTTCAGCATTATGGATGTTGAGAATGTGTAGCAAGTCCTTATTTTTAAGAGCTTGAGAGTTGGCTATTTTGAGTGGACTGTTGTGAATTTTTTAAATAGCTATATTAATACTAAGACTAGAAGCATAATCCTACATATGAACATCTATTAACAAATTTAGAGCCTCATCAGTTCCCACTCCCCTTATTTTTACCCACTTTAAAGTGTAAGAACTTGATTTTGATCATGTGTGCAGATGTCTGACACATTCAGAGAAGGTGATTTTTAAGATTCTCTCTCAAACAATATTCTGATCTCATATTTGGATAAATCAAGTCCACGGGTGTTTTTCCCAGACATTCTCTTGAAGGCTCTGCATAGCATAGCATGCCTCCCCTTCTCCCCAAAAGAATACTGATCATGTCTTCCTTGGGTTGATGGGCACGCAATTCATCCAACAGGGAGCAATGTGAGACTCTCACTATCCTCCCCACTCCATGTCAGCTTTCCATGTGCACGATTTTCCATGTCACTCTCAGCACCTGCTGTCCTAGGGCCAAGCCCTTGAGCACGGCAGTGTATTGCACTGCCACTAGATCACCAGTCCAACACCCCAAACTTTTCACTCCTAATTCTGCCATGGTTGATGCAAAAAGTTCTTGCCCAAGGATACCACACCAGATGTACAAGAGAATGGATTTATGGAGTAATTGTTCTTAAATTTCAGGTCACCTGCTGAGGCCTGTGTCACCTTTGATGTTGACTCTTTTACAAATGCTTTAGACAGAATATTAGGTGAGATCTAGTTTCTTTATTAACTTGCTACTCTGTTTCCTGGCCATCCATATACATTGCATTGACTTGATTTGTATATAGGCGCAGACTCAGAAGAGCTGGACTCAGATGATCTGGATGAGGAGGAGCAGTTTGAGTTCTTGGACAGCGATGAAGACTTGGATTCTGAAGCCCATGGTCAAGAGGAAAAGGCATTGCCAAACAAAATGATAGGAAGTCTCAGATCATACATGGATGACATGGACTGCGAACTGACGCACACCAATGTTGGTAAAAGCTTCGTCACCCCAAGGAAAGTGGTATGTATGCTTTGGGTTTTTGTAATTTATCTCCTTCTGTGAAAGAGGAGGTAGGGAGTAGAATAATAATCTAAGCATCCGTGGCTGATGCACATGCTCAGAGATCAGGAACTCTTTCCAAAGAAATATCCTACATGCAAACAATGTGTGCTGTAGCTATACCACTAGACTGATTCTGTATATAAAAAAGCTAAACTTTTGGCTTCCACAGTAGCTTCAAATCCTGGCTTCATTTCTCTATAGCCTTCTCTTGGGACTTCTTCTGCATGATGATTCTGATAGTGTGATTGTTTGGTTCATGAACTCCTGCCCTCCATGACTGTGTGGGACATACTGGACTTTAACTTGGCTTCTAAACTATCTGCTTAACTCACTTGTGGTGGGTGTTTTTTTCCTCCCCTGCCTTGATTGTGCAGAGTAATTCTGGTAGTTTCATAGATCAGTCTGTGCCTTCCCTGCTGTCTTAGTCAGGAGCTTCTCCCGTATGGTTGCTTTTCACCATGTACCACCAGTGATTGTCATAAAGAACCTACATGTAATCAAATATTTGTCTTTAAAATTTACTCTCTGTATGTGCTACAGGCTAGTTCTGCTAAAGAACCTCTGTCTCGAGATGCTGACTGCGCCTTAGAAGATGATTCTGATGCAGGAGATACTGATTTGACACCTGTGGATGTAGATCTGAACCTAGTGACTAACCTGCTGGAATCATATAGTGCTCAAGCTGGACTTGCAGGACCTGCCTCTAACATCCTACAGAGTATGGGGGTGCATTTACCTGAAAATTCAGACCATAGATGCATTAATAGCAGAGCAACGGATTAATCTGTTATCCTGGTTCAGAGGCCGGTTTGTGCTTCTAATCCCATCCTGCAGAGTAGCAATGGTATAGCAGACACTATGAATGGTTTCAGTACTAAACACTTCAATATGTTTTACGTGGCTTTAGATGTGTGTGCAAAATACTTACCTGATAAAAGTTTGTCTGATTTGTTAAATGCAAAAAGTTGCCTTGGGAATAAAGCACAGTTTTCTCTTGTGCTAGTATATTTTAGAAAAATTGTAAAGATTGTTCTGATTTGAATGAAAATTTCCTATCTCTATTATAAAAGCTGTGTATCCAATATAAAGATCATAATCTAGGTGATACTGGCACTCTGGGAAGACTCCAGGTCTTGCTTTCTTTTTCTTGGCCACTCACAATTTTTTTGTCTCTTTTAGCCATTAATAAATGTTTCATTTTAGTGGCTAAAATGTGGATGAGATGCAGATCCTCTTGAAATGCTGCTATGTCAAGAAGGATATAATAGAGAGATCACACACCAACAGTAGTACCCTCTTCTGTCTTCTACTTTTTGCTGTTGATATGCACAAGCATCTGTCTGCCCAAAAAGCACCCACCGACGCACACAGTTTCTAAAGTACGAAAGCTTCAGTGTAAGCAGTTTTGATGAGTAGTGAAAACTATACAGATTTCTTCAAATAATGGAGAATTGTAGATTTACCAGCCTGGGTATTTTAATACATTTTTCTATAAGCATTTTTCTAATTTATTTAAATAAAGATATACAAAAGTACAACTTGGTTGCTGTAACTTTTTTTCCTTTGAAGTTGCACTTATTTTTCTCCAGTTAGTACTGGACATCCTCAGAATAAAAAACATTTCTTAACACCATTGTATTTGAAAGAAAGCTCGTGACCAAACTTGGCTTTTGTTTATTTGAACTACCTCAAGTGGCTGAAAAATGATTTTGTGCCAACAGTATCTGTATGTGGGCCCAATCTGAACAAGTCTGTCTTGCTTTAATAAAAGTTTAACTGGAAGACATCCAACATTTTGTTTCTATACTGAATTGAAAAGCTTAAAGTTAAATCAGTTAAAACTAGGTAGCAAACCTTTTAAGTTATGCATATGAAGACTGTCTTATATTCCTCTAGTTATATTTCAGATAAATATATAAAAGGTTCCTTTTTCACTTACTTGTCAAGACTTTGATTCATTTTTCTGTGTAGTTTCCTTAACAATTAACATAGGCACCTTAATTAGTGTAGGAAAAGCTCCATATTTTGCTTTGGAGATTAGTATGGTCAAACTCTCAAGGAAGCAGAAGCCTGAGTACTGGTCCTAGCAGGCAAGTGAAGGCAGAACTGATTTTCTAAGTACTGTTCTTAAATACATTTGAAAGTCTGAACATAAGTTAATCAGTTGAAATTGCAAATAGATTTTTATTAAAAAAAAAATTGTACAAAAATTCTGCCATTTTCTTGAGGCTAAAGAAGAAGAGATTAGTAACTGGTTTCTTATACTGCTGATGTTGAATGTCACACCAGTATTCCAGTCACCACCAGCAGGAGGCTTATTAGATCTCGGTTATAAGAGAGGCAACACTGTCCAGTTCCCAGACCAGGTGAGTTGAAAGTTAGAAAGGGAAATCTTTAAATGGTTTAAATTGTCATACTTTCAGTAAAGTCACTGGCTGAGGCTCTGCCACAACCTTGCTGAGATCCCTTGGCCTGTGTCTGTTTCCCCATTTGTAAAATTAATAGTTTGCTCACATTTGTAGAGTTTTATGGATCTCTGATAAGATGCTGTAAGTGCCAGTATTTGACTATCTGTACAGGTACAAAGTGAAAAATATTCTAAATTATTAATGGTCAGTGTAAAACACAGAGCAAAACTGCTGCAGTTTCTTCTAGGATATATGTCTTAGTTAAATCTCTGTCATTAAGAATTTTATTTATTCCAACCATTTATATTTATCAACTCTTATACTCATCTCAGGGTGTTGTACAATTACCCACATTAGAATTCAGCATATAAGATTAGTTAAATGCTTTAATAAACATTGCCATCTTGCCTTTTTGACTGTTTTGGAATAATGTACTAAAACATTTTTGCTTTTAATTATAGTAAGATTGTATGGTGAGTGAAGTCTGATGGTATCCCAGTATGGTAACCAAGTGGGGAGGAACAGTGTTTCTTAACTTTTGCTGTCGAAGTTTTGGATGTGATAAAATTCCCTGGTTCAGTTGAATATCCACTTCTGTTGCAGAAGTACACCTCTGCCCCAATATAATGCTGTCCTCGGGAGCCAAAAAATCTTCCCACGTTATATTGAACTTGCTTTGATCCGCCGGAGCACTGCTTTACCGCGTTATATCCAAATTCGTGTTCTATCGGGTCGCTTTATATCGGGGTAGAGGTGTATGTAGAACTTCTGACAATTTAATTTTTCCTACTTGTGGCCTGAATCCTGGGACAGATCCTAGCATGAATGGATTAATTAGCTGTAAGCTTGCTATTTTAGGCAGGAAGATACATTATTTATCTTCACTCCTCTTGATGCAGCACACACTCTAGCAGGATCATAGCCAGCCCACAGTATTCTAATTCCTATTAAGATGTCTAATCTTGGATAATAATTAAGTGAGTCAGCTGCTAAGTGGTAATTTAGTTTCCTAACTCACTGGGAGCAAATGTGGGATCTCTTGCAGAAATGGAAGGGAAAATGAATCTCTCAGTGCTTTATCTACCTGTTTGTGCATGCAGTTTCTCCCAAGTCCCACTGCATCATCAGTACTTTTAGATCAAGTGTGAATCCTCTGTGGCTGGTGTGGGGCTTGCCAGAGTCTCCCTTTTTGAAAATTAAGAAAGGTGGGGGTGGAGGGTTGTTTTGTTTTTTGGCTTTGGACTGGCAGAGAGCAAAAACAATTCAGGTAGTCAAATGTGTTCAGTGACAAGTATGTGGCTGAAGAAGTCCCAGATTTGGGAGGCCTGCACTACAGGAACCCCAACTGGAGCTGAAAGGCCACCTGGCCAGAGAGGAGCAGCCTGAACTCTGGAGATCACAGGGCAACTTCAGCATCAAACACTAAGGAGATGGGGGAGGACAGCAGCTCCTCCCCCAGCTGGGCTTCTCCTCTCATCTTTGTCATAAGGGTGGAGGAAGCAGTGCTGATTTTTAGATTGCTGTGTTTGGTGGTCACCCAACGCCCAAATGAAGTCCCACTAAATAGACCTTGGCAGCAGAGTAGAAGAGACAAAAGTTGAAAAGGCTGAGAGGCAGCAAGATGTAAAGGTGTGGGACGCTAAAGATTGCTGTGCCATTTGTGTAAATGTAAACGTTCTTTAGTGACTTTGAAAAATGGACTTTGTGCGTTTATGCTCTTCTAATTAAAATGCATTTGGAAGTATTAATTGTAAAAACGTAACAGAGCAACACACCTCCATTCTCAGTACTCAAGAGGCCTCATGCCCAGTGTACTCTTAAAATAGCTGTATGTCTCTACCAGACTATTCTATGGCTTAATGACAAACATACATGGTAAATATATATATAGTATATTTATAAAACTTGGAGAAAGATAGTGAAGAGGTACACACCCTGTTTTGTCCTAAAAATAAATCCCACAGGCTGCAGAAGTTGCAAAATATTTCCACATTTCTTTGGCATACCAAAACATTTTTTCCTTTTAAGTTTTGACATGTGGCCTACAATGCAATTATGAATTTCTCATCTATCTGAGCCACTCCTTTTCTTCTTGTCGTTGCCTTGTGTTGCCCTGAACTACTGACACTTTACATCTCCATAATCAGTAGCCATGGTGTGAGTAGATTTGTGGGGGTGTGAGAGAGAGGGGTGCAGGAGGAGGGAGTGAGAAGTTGATGTATGGAAGTAGAGTTTTGTGCACATGAGAAAAACAGGTTGCAGAGGCAGGCTAGAAAACAATAGAAAATGGGAATGAAACGACAAGACTGATCTACACTCATTCTCTACCTCATTCCTAATTCCCCTTTATTCCAGCAAGTAAAAGAAAGGATGATGAGAGTAAGAGCCAGAAACAGGGAACCCAGACACCACACACGCAGGGGAAGAATGATGAACAAACCAGCAGAGCTACAATAAGTTACATTTTAAAGAAAGCTGGATGCCAGACTGTTACAACACAACCATGTGTGACTATAGAAAATGTGTAGCTAGCAGTGTTTGGCCAGGAGCCAGGAGCAATTGGTGAGGATTAAAAATGCACTTCTCCCTCCAAATGTTCAAACTAATAGCCTCAAAACTGGGGGCATCTGTGCCTTTTCCCAAGAACTCAACTAAGTAAGCAGAAGGTACAGCCATCCTGAATTCTTACAGTTTAATTACCAGCAAATCAGAAATCTAGGTAACTCCATTATTAGGCTGTTATTAGTCTCTGCCTGCCCAAGGCTATGCTTCAGTGGATCTCCCGGAGGGTGATAACCTGCTATTCCACCAGTACAAGGGGAGCAAGCATCTAGCCAAGCCCTTGAACCTTGTGACTGGGCTCTTTCTGCTCCACAGAAATGCTCTGTAGCTAAGCAATGCATAGAGTTAAGAGTGATACCCTATGGACTGAGGCAGAAATGTGTTCCTTGGGTTCTCAGCGATTTCTATTACCATTTGAGTCATGGGGGCTCTTCCAGAATATCAAGCAAGTTAAAGCTTTATGCAGGTTTTTTTCCTCTGTTTATCACCAAATCTTGCTCCCTGAGGATGGAAAGCTATAGAGGCAATGTGCTCGGCACTGAGGGAGGGCCTTGTGATATCTTTAGCTGCAAAGTCCAATATGAACAAACGTGGTACCTCTTTAGCAGCAAAGGAAATCAAGGGTATTTTTGTATGAAGATGAGCATAGTGGGAGACTAGATGGGGCAGGGAAGCAGTGGAAGGAGGGAACTTAATGAAATTTGTACTTTCACTATTCTCAAACTTCGTCAAAAAATGCAAGAGCAGCACTAGGACCAACACTGACAGGCCCTAAATGGAATCCCACCTACTCCTCTGTCAAAAAGAGTGAGGCTCTATTGTGTGACATCAGAGATGTCTAAGGGGGTAAAATAGAGGAAAATGAGTGGAATCCTTTATTCTAAGAGGGATCTAGGAAACATGTATTAGGGGTTGATCATTCTGATGTCTATGGTGCAGGCTTATAGCTGGTTTGATGACACATCTAGTGGTTTGGGCTTTTTTTTTTAATATAAGATTTACTGGAACTTATGGTATTGTATCCAATTGATGGTTCTTTGTGTATCAGAGTTGCTGGGACTTATCCAAATATGTGTCTGTGCCCCTAGGTGTACCTGAATATAAGTTGGTTTATGAGCCATTCTGGCTGGGTCACCACTGTGAGAAATTGTCCTCACTTGTTTTTACCTGCTAAAATAAAGGTTTGATAGACTGTGCCTAAGCAGGCGAGGAAGCCTGCAGCTTAACCCACTCCTGAATCAGTTGGTGGGCTATGGCCCACTTGGGTGGCAGCCAAAGTGAAAAGCTGCCATCCTCTTGTTTCAAAGGCTTAGGCTCCCGTCCGAGTGCTTCCATTATCTCCTCCAGGCTGAACCAGCCAGCTGCTTCCAACTCCAGTTTGTTCACACTGATCTGGAAAGGATTCAAAATGTATGAAGGACTGTAAATGGCTTTCAAAGCAGCTACCTGGGACTTCATAATTCCTGTATCTACAGGACTTTCTGGCAACAAAGGCTAATGAATTCTGGGTTCCAGTGTATTCTATGAATGTCTGTTGAAGAGATTTCTCCCCATCTGCCCTAGACTGGGAAGTGATGTGGGAAGACGGACAGGTTAGAGTTAAAGCAAGCCCCAGTTACCAGGAATTTTAAACAAGCATAGTCTCACTTATCCTGCAAGTGAGGCTGTTCAGTGGCTTATGTGAAATGAATTAGTAGTATTTGGCTAGCACCAGGTGTTCGCATCATATCTGTTCCTGGGGTGGCAGTCTCCACAAAGGGGCTAAGACCTCAATGGAAATGGAGACTGAATTACTCAGCCATGCAGCAGGCTTGGGAAAGG